TTATCAGCAAAAGACTCACGCAACATCAGAAAAGATTAATGGTCAGGGTCCATTTGATTCTATGAGTAGCTGATACTAAAGAAGGAAAAACGGTTCAAAGAGTTACCTATAGAAGCTGAAGGAGCCAGAGGTTGCTGGTTCCAGGTGGAGAAGGTTCTGCATCAGAAGAGTTAAGCAAGTCAGTTTAAAGGTTCTGATGAAGATAAATCGAGAGGACAGATGAGAAAGCTAAGGGGATTAGATTTCGGTTATGTAAAAGATTTTTAAGGTTAAAGGAAAAGAGAGTACCTTCGGTTTCCAGAAGATCATGTCAAGGGAAGAAGCGTAACCGTCGTGGGTTAGTGTTGATTTCGCGATCGGGAAAGAGCACTAACGGGTACAGAAGCATGATGGAGTGTCGCGAACTCTCTCAAGCTGAGTGAGCCCGAAGAGTCAACGGCGAAGTAATCGCCGGAGTTGGAAGCTACAGATCGGAGAATCTCATCGGAAAATCACACCAAGTCGGAGGTGGAGAAGCTGAAGCGTCGATGGCCATCTTAAGCCGATGAAGGTGAAGACGGAAGCTTGATGACGGCGTCAGAAGGAATCGCCGGAAATGACAAAGGAGACTCTCGAAATGTCACCGATTCTAGGTAGAGTCGAACCTGAAATCAGAAATTGAAGGAGTTAATTTCAAGGGTTTCGGATTTGAGAAAGGCGAGAGATCAAAGGGAGAAATAGAAGAGATTTGTACTTACCAGACGGGAAATCGGAGCCGGAAAACTGTGAAGGAGCTGGTCGGGTTTGTTTTTTTTTTTGGAAAAGGCCCGAAGTCGAAGAGGCGGTGATGCGTCTGCTGCGAAGTTGACGGCTGCTGCGACGGTTGCCGCGACTGCTGCTGCGACGGCCGATGCTAGAGCCGGCGACTCAGTCGGGCGAAGATGAAGCCGAACAAAGCCAGGAGATGAGACAACAAAGGGGAAAAAGACACAGCCGCATGGAGGAGAAAGGTTGTGTCGGTTGTGTTGTGAGGAGAAATGAAAAATTAGGTTAAACGTGATCCAAAACAGGTGGAGTTTGTGGGCTGTTTTTGGGTCACTTGCCTTATGGGCCGTGGGTCAAGCCCATAACCAATTTGTCTGAAGCCCAGATTACAAAGTCAAATTCTAGTAGGAAGAATTTATACAGTATATATATAAGAAGAAGAACATGATCGTGAGAGTGGTGTGGGATTTCTAGGGCTTCCTCTTTTCTCTAGATTTAAGCAAACCTGTAAGAGGAACATACACAAGTGATTAGGAAATTACTTGTACCAATTCTTATTGAATAAAATTTTTCCCTTTTGACAAGATTAATTCGTTGTGTTCTTATACGGTTTGATCATTAATTCTTAGATTCTCACAGAAATTAGATATAGAAATCGATCTATTTCTCAACAGACACACTAAATATTTCATAGATCTAAGATTTATCCTTTCTCATAATCAAGTTACAAAAAATTAACAAGTTTTCTACAATCTTAACCAGTTACACACAGCACAAATTTTGTACCAAATTTTCCACAAAAGTACCACAAAATGTATCATCGCAATATGAATCGTATTATCTACATGTATCAAATGCAAGAGTGTCTTCAATTGAGATTATAAAAGGATTTGGAGATTTGGAGTCGGTTGGTACACACGTACCATAGCTTCCATATAATGAGAAGTTTATAGCTTTAGAGATATGATTTGGTATAAGGATATGGTAAGTTGAAGATATGATGTGGAAGAAGAGTCATATTGTTTTGGCGAATCATGTCCATTGAGTTACACGTTGCTGTAAAGAATTATTCACAGTAACATGTTTCTATTTTTCAGTATAATGGAGGTTGATGAGAGACAATATCCGCATTTAAGAGCACTCTCGCTTGAGAGATTCAAAAGAGTTTCTACACAATAAAGTATTCATAATTTTATATTCTCTACGTATCATTTTAATTGATTTTTTAGAGAAATTTTTTTTGTTTTATATTATATGATTTTTACAATTTTCTATACAAAACTAAATGCATTTTTGTTTAATATGACTATTAGAATTCTGCAGTTTGATTTACTATTGGTTGAATTCTATTTAATTAAATGATAAATAGTGTTTTAATT